CCCTGCGCTCGGCCATAACCCAAGGAGGCTGCCAGACATACCCTGAAATTATGTATCATGCAGGTACAAATTATGTGAGACTTCCAGGCAAGGGCTGCACCCACTGACTCTTCATTGATACTCGCTTCTCTGGGAGATGGGCCCGGCTCCTTCCTGCTTCACATTGACAGCTTGTTGAGTGTTAGACTTCATTGGGTGGCACTAGTCCCTCTGCAGATGTTGGCACTGTGCTGCTCCTTCAGGACAGCAGCTCACATCTGACTCGGTTCACAAGGGGCAGATGGACAGGGCTCACATGTTTTGCTGTTGAAATCAGTGCATGCCAGGCATGCACATCGCTAGGTGAGCCACGACTGCCAGAGACAAGTCCTGAAAGTCTTGAGGCCAGGCCCTCCAACCAGAAGTTAATTATAGTTAATTGTTGGAGCCAGCAGAACAGTGGGAATTTACTGTATGGGAAGCTGTGTTGCAGGCAGCTCCAGCTCGTCGTGGCTAATGCGCCTGCCCAAGGCAGCGCCGAGGCCTGGTGACATCTCTGAGGGAGGAGACTGCCAGCTGCTGCTCCTCTCCCTGTCCTACACGGAGAGAAGCATTCCTGGCCCCGGGCTCTGCCCACAGCTTGGGATTTGCCTATCAGGAAAAGGGGAGAAAAGAGCAAATGAGAAAACAAGTGTGGGTAGCAGGGACCACCTCTTGGAAACCATCCCTGTGAGCCCAAATGTTAGGTACAAGGGCCGTGTGCTTTGTTTCACCATTTGTGCCGAGGGGTAACCAAAGTTAATGGTATAGGAAGTGGGTAATATAGGCGGTGATATATCCCCCCTGAGATCTTTCCTRTCTACATAATGGTGCCAGGTTGCTCTAGTTCTCATTTTGCACAGTCAGTAGCCAGAGTCACAAGTGTAGCAAAGGACTTCCAACGGCCTGGAAAATCCAGAGGAGGACAGAGAGGTTGCAGAGCACCCTGGTTTCCCAGAGATTCTTCAAGGCCGGTCGGGACTTGTGCTCCTTCACAGCCTCATCCTCTCCTGAGGCAGAAGATGATGCTGGAAGCAAAGTGGTCGTTTGAGGTTGGCTTGGCAGGTGGCAGGGAGCTTTTTGGAGCTTCCCAGCTGACTGTTGTCTGCTTTGGGATTTCCTGGGACCCGTGTTGTTGCGATACCATGTGTAAGAACAGACATGTCTCACTTGCCTCCCTCCGTGTTTCTGCTGTAGGGATCCTTCCTCTCCATGACACGTTCCTTTGGCTGTATTCCCTCTTTCCCACCGCGTGCATCAAGTACCAGCTCTTTGTCTTTAGAGGAACTAACGATCTGTCCACACCCTTTCTGTCATTTTTCTTCCCACCCCAGGAGTTCATCCTTGCTGTTGCTGGGCCTTGGTTGCCAGCATCGTGGCACAGCAGCTCCGCTCCCATTGCTCTTCCCACCCTCTTCCTTGCYGCCCTTCCTGCTGGGCACACAAATGAACGCTGCTTGGTCCTGTTTTGACCCCATCTTAAAGCTTCTCCTTTCCTCAGCGCCTGCAAAATAATCTGACAAATTGATGAGCTCTCTTGTCCAGAGACCACAACTGACTGCACTCGTGRATATGGTCCCGTGTTCTCTTCAGGGCCTCTTTATTTCGAGCTCCTCTGTGTGTGATGCTCAGACAAGGTGAGCCTTGGAGGGGCAGCAAACATCTTCTTCATTCTGCGTCAACAAGGCTCCTCGCCACAGGGAGATGAAGACATCTAAGTCTCATCTTAATATATCAGAAATGGTATTTGTTCTTACTGTCGTTGTTACTGTTGCTGCCTGATGCCTTCCTGTTGAGTTTCAGTGTGGGGCGAGGACGGTGGGTGTGCAGGTAGGCACAGAGAAGGTCCCAGCTGAAAGTGGCATGAAGAGGGTGCAGAACAGCCAGGGCTTCCTTGTGTGGTCCTGTGTTCAGGTGCATTGTACTTGAGAAAGCCGGAGTACTTTCCACAACAGATACAGTTCTGGTTTTAAGCCACATTTGAAGGCAGCTGAGGTCTATCTCCGCTCACATCAAATTCTCAAAAATTTAGAAGTTTTGATTCTTTTTCCTGATCACATGCCTTTTTCTCTTTGCCTGCTGAAGGGAATAGAAAGTAACTAATTTGTTTACTGTTCTTGTGAGAGATTCAGCTAATCTACCTGTGATAAGTTTTGAAGATTTGTCTTGCAGCCTCAAACCTGAACATTTGTTCTAAGGTGTTTATTTTATGTATTTCCTGCCGTAGTTGGATGTGTTAACACCGTGGCTTCAGCTGGCAGGTATATAACTAATAGAGCTGAAAAAGAGAAGATTGTCTTTTACGTGATTTTTATTTGCTCACCTGAAAGGAACGAACTGTTTCACCACAAGGAGCAAGTATTTTCTTTCTTTCCCTGAGTTTCATAAAAATTTAAAAGCCCTTTCAAAGGCCAAACTATCCAAGAAGGTTAGAAAACAAGTCGATTATTAACTGCCAGCATGTGGGGGCTGCTGCTGGGGGGTGRCTGGAGAGGTGGAGAAGAGATGACAGGAAAGCTGCAAGGAGCTGCTGCAGGTGTGAGTGGGGGTCAGGCATGGAGACCCCAGCAGAACAGGGCGAAGCAGAAGGAAATGGAGAGCACAGGAAGGGAGAGGAGACCACAGTGATGGCAGAGAGCAAGGAGGGGGGAAAGCAGGAGGGAGGGCTGCCCAGCCAGGATCCTTGACRCTGGGGAGCACCCAGGAAATCCTCATGGTAGCAAGGGGGTCATGAAAGATAGAACATGTCAGAAGAGGTAACAGAGGTAATAACAGAGATGAGGAGCAGGAGTAAATAAACCTAGATGGAATAAATGTGAACTCTCCTGCGTTTGCGGGAGAAATAGGTTGGGAAGCATTTGGGAGCTCCTTTGCCCCTGGAGCTCTACTGCTTGAGGGACTCTCCCCCCTACCTCGTGCTTTTCTCTTGGATGGTGCCAATCTTGGAGAGCTCGGGAGAGCCCGCACACCTTGTGGAAATGCGGCGTGGGAGCTGTTGCAAGCGTCCCCTGTTCTCAGGCAGAAATGTCAATGGGTGCTCGGCCTGCAAAGCACTCTTGCCACAAGCAGCAGCCCTCCTGCAGGCGTCAGCCTCTCTCCCCATTTCTCTTCATTGCACAGGCTTAAAACAAGACCTCTCGGGCTCTTGAAATGATCTCTTTGTATAAACATTTGCGGAAGCAAATGCTTAAGAGGATGTTGCTGCTGCAGCAGCAGCAGCCGGCGGCGCCGATGCTGGCCTGAGGAGGCAAGGCCAAGCGTGCAGGAGCCAGCGCTGCAGCGCGCCGGGCGCCGCGAGGGCCCCGGGCTCCCGGGCAGGCTCGAGGGCAGCGGCGAGCGCAGCAGCCCACGTGAGGCAGCAAGCCACACGATCACCCCCTGCCCCATCACGGGCTCCCCAGTTTGGGGAGCTGGGGCACCCCGCGCTCACACCCCGAGCAGCGCCTGGGCTCCCGCGCGGGCTGCCCAGGCGCCGCCGCCTCGSTTGGGGTGGCTCTGCAAGGGCCTGTTTAGCAGCCATGGTTCTTCGGAGGAGAGGCCAGGGCCGGGGTGAGCTTCTCCTCRGCTGACCTCGCGGTTCCCCTGCTTCCGTGCCGCTGAAAATGCCCTCATTCGGGAAAAGGGGAATGCCCGTGGCTGGTAAATCTGGCACCAAAATAGGTTGTGTCTGTCGGACCTGTAGCATGTCTGCAAGGAAGGAACGGAGAGAAAACGGGCAATGTCTACCTCTAATTGCACTGCTTTTATGCTGTTTGAAAGCCTTTTAGTCTGAGTATGATCAAGTGGCTTTATTGTATTTTATAAATAGGTTRTTTTCAGTAGGAATTTTTGGAACAACAGAATGGCTTGTTCAAATGTTACCTTTCCCTTCTGCTTTGGCTCTCGTGCTCGTTTCTGTGCTTTTGTTGATTTGGAAGTTTTTGCAGTGGTTGTGTTCATGTTATGAGTCTTGCTGTTAATCCTGCCTGCCCAAGCCTTCAGGGTTGGTCTTGCAGCAGAAAAGGACCTTTAGGCTGCGGGGTAACAGACTGCCTGGGTGCAGCAGGAGCAGCCACGGGATGYGGATACGGTCCTGTTGGAGGCACTGGGCCTGCGGGTGCTGTGGAGGAACTGTGGGACAGCAAAGCGTTCCCATCACCCGAGACAAGCGGGAGAGAATGGACTGCAGTTACAAACATAAACCTTCAAGTTGTGGCTAAATCATGGGTGTCTTTCACCTTTTCAATGCAGGGTTGTATTACACTGTGTATGGAGAGCCTGCTGTTATAGATGACCTCTACTTCACGTGGAACTTTCTTTTATTTTGTCTTTTTTCACTATGTAGTTTCATAATATATGAGTTTGTTAAATACTGGCTGAGGTTACTTGGAGGAATAGAGGTTTGTGCTCTGCATTCCCTGGCTTAATCCTGGACTATTAGAATTATGTTGGATACCGGGTCAGATCAAGTACAGTTTATTGAAATTAACTTCCTTTGCAGCTGGTCCCCGTGAGTATCCAAGGATATAAATAAATTGGAATAAACCAGCAGAAATGCTGGTTGGCTGCCACTATCTAAGCTGGTTCCATATGGGGGTTTTATGATGAAGCTGAATGATCRCTAGTGGTGTTTCTTATCATATCCAGGCTTCTTATTTTCTCCTAGTTGCTTCCTGAGTTAAATGAGTATTATTCTTAATCTTAGGCAGTCTGCAAAGCGTATTAGAGTTAATTCTATTTTTATTTTTTGAGTGCGTGTTTCGGTACTGCTGCGTATCGACAACATCCAGACCCTCTGGAGCAGAACATAGTGCGCTCGTAAAATGGGTAAGATATATCCTCCGTGCTGAAGAGCGAAGCAACCAATTAAATGCTGCTGAAGGGAAGACAGGTTGTGGTGGAAAAGACAATGCTGTGTTTTGAAATGTCGTGTATGTTGCTTTTGGGATACATGCTGAGTTAACCTCATTGAACTTTTCCCCAGGAATTGATGCGCTTTCAATTGGCGGGTCATTATGCTGCTCCACCTGTGTAGTGTTAAGGTCAGTGTGTTTTTCTGATTATAAAACCCATCCATACCATTCCATTATAAATCCACTCCCATTCATAATGGAATGTGCCAAAGCTCAGAGCTCGTTGCAGCTGCACCCGGTACACGTTTAAGACCAAACAAAGCGGTTTAGGTAATTTGGGCACCTTTCCAACCAAGTCCAAGCTTCATTTGCAGTGATCTTTTCTCGTTTTTCTGTTTCATTTTGTTTTTGATCCTGCCTAAGCATCCATCTGATGTCAGTGTTGTTCCTGTTTTGTGTTTAACGTGAGCATTGTCCTGAACTACGACACAGTAGTTACGACAAGGTGGTAGCAAGGAGGTCCTGGGAGCAGCAGGCAACAGTGAGGCTGCACTTGGTTGCACGCACAGCCCAGAATGCATCAACCACTCACCTTCCCCAGGCACTTCCCGAAACCTGCCGCCTTGGAATGAGCCTCCAAAGGCACAAATGGGCCGTCGCGAGAGGCACCCTCCTGCGGGCGCTGCGGGAATGCCGCTGGCACTAACCCCTGCCGGGGAATGCGGGAGGTGCCGGCTGTGCATGTGGGTAACGCACCGCTGCTCCATGCATCTCTCTGCACAGCTTAGATCTCTGAGTTGCCTGCATTATGAAAGAGAGCCCGAATGTGCACCACCGCTTCTCCAGTGGTATGTCCATCCCTCAAATGTTGCTGCGGTTGGAGTTTGTTTGTTTGTTTGCTTCTACTTGTTGCTAACCCACCAAATCACTTTGCGAGGAATAAAATCTTTGTGGAGAACCGTGTATATAATAAGTGACTGTATCCTTCCGTGAGGATTCATGGGGATGTATCCTTTCTACATGAAGTTTTGTGCTCTGTACTAGTCAGCGGGAGCCTYGGGCGCTGGCTGTTTTGCTGGGGCCGATTTTGGGCCTCTGTGAGCAGTGCTCTAATAGCTGAGGAAATATGCAGCCTCTTGATGCCCACCGAGGAATTCCGTGACTGTATCCGACCGCGCTCCCTCCTTCGGCTCTCGGTCTCTGTGGACACATTAAACATAGTATGAAACTTCCCTGGAAGTACGTGCTAGGTAGTGCACACAGAGTCACAAAACGCCTGGAAGAATGATGGGAGGAAAAGCCCTCTGTGAAAAGCAATCTCCAAAAATCCTTATGAAACCCCTCCTGGAGCCGCTCCTGGAGCCTGACGCGTGTTGAATTGAGAGTCATTCCAGTTTTGCAGCCGCTGTGTCAGGTAAGCACAACCCGGAGGTACGCGGCAATGTCTTTCCATTACTCTGACTAAAGGATAATCGAGTTAGGCTGTAGACCAGSAACTAAACCAAGCGTGCCCCAAAATCACAGGAAGTGGGGATGCCTGTGGGGGGCAAAAGGGACAGAGCGGGACGGCGGGGCCCCTTACAGGCCTCCCGCACGAGCAGAGAGCTGCCCTCAGAGGGCAGGACGCCGTGGAGAGCGCACCGGAACGCGGAGACCGGCGGGACTGAGCGCAGGTTTGGTGGTGGAGCAAGGAGTGCACGACACCCRTGCAGCTCACCAGGAAAGAACCAAAAAGACATGGCTTGGAACCAGAAGGATCTATCGGACATCTTCTCTTTAATGTCATTTTTAGTGGTAATGAAACACGCGTTGCTGTCTTGACATGGACAACTCGGCCAACTGCAAGTTCAGCCTTCGGCTCGGGTTCGGCTGCAGTCCCCTGTGTCTGGAGAAAAATACTAGGTTCTTCTTTTTTTTTTTTTTTTTTTCCTTTTGTTTTTTTAAATTGAAAGATTTTCTCCACTCCTTCTGCCTCCATTTCCGCCCTACTTGGAAAACAAAATAGCTCCTTGTAGCTTTTTTCTCATTTTTTGGAAGAAGTTGTAGTTTCCCGCTCCATCTCAGAACAGGCTACTTCCAGAAAAGTAAAGTGGATGTTTGATTTTTCTCGGTGGCAATGACCAGTGTGTTCCTGCAAAGGCATGGAGGTGAYGTTAGAGAAAGGCCTGTTGGTTGAGCTGAATGTAGAAATTTGGGAGAAATGCCAGTATGCGTTAGCAGTACGGAGAGCTGTGGGCACCATAGGACATCAGACCATTCCCAACCTCTGTTTTTAAGCACCTAATTTAGTTCATTAATTTATTTTCCCTACATACACTGTGTGGTCCACATAGAAGAATCGTGCTCCTCCCGTTGGTAATACAGAGCATCGTTACTCCGTGCTGCCCCTACAAGTAACGTCAAGTTCGTGGCCAKCTAAGTTAGGCACCCGAATCTCAGAGCAGCCACAGACAGAGGGGAGTAAAAAGCTGAAAACRCAACAGAAAAACTGGTACAGTAAAATAAAAATGTGTTATGTTTAGTAAACTCTATATTTTGCTGCTTGGTTGCTGATAAATGAACTGTAGTTGCTTAGAGGTATTAGTGCTGTAGTCCGTGGTGGTGACGCTAGCTCCTACAAGAACTTGATTGATGTTGTTGATTTTGTTCTGAATATCTTCTCCAGAAGAGGCAGGATCAGCRTGTTCCCCGTTTGGTTTCAGCTTGGTCCTGCAGCTTGGTTAGGGAAGAGAGCTTCCATTTAAGCATCCCCTGCTAAATCAAGAGACGTGCAAGCTTTACGTTACACTCAATCAGTCCGTGACCACTACAGCTCACATGCTCTTTGCAGTATGCTGTACACTTATATTCAAACAAGGTAATGTCTTCTAAAGAGGAAAAAAAAGGAAAAAAAAAAAAGAAATAGAACCCCACTCAATTAGAGAGTTCCTCGTATGTGGAAATCATCCTTTTAACAAGACACGTTAGTTATTGAAAAAAATCTATTAGTGTTACTAATCCAGATGTTAATACGGAATGGTGTTTCTTGTGGTTCACTTGGAGTTCAGTGTGCAGGAAATTTTCAGACCTCCCTTCGCAGTGTGGTTCTTGAGCAGATGTGAACAATACAAAAACAAATCACTTATATCAGTTCTTTTTTGTAGACCAGCAGACATAGGTTGAAGCCCCAGCTGCTATAAATACATCCAAGCCCCGAGCTGAGCAGAGAGGTTGGAGCTGATGGTCTCYAGAGGTCCCTTCAACCTCAACCATTCTGTGTGATTCTGTGGTTTCCCAGCCCAAACCCTTCCCACTTAGCAAAAAGGGAGCATTTCAGAGCTCCTTTGCCCTGGGCTGTACTGTACGCACTCGCGACTAACTAGAGAGCCCTGTCCAGCCTGTGCACACGAGTGCGCTTGGAGCTGAGCAGCTCTCCCGGGATAGTTTTTGGTAGGCAGAAGAGGTAACGGCGAGGRGAGGTGGCGGGGGGAAGCGGGAGCGCTGGTGGGGAGGGAGCCCAGGCCCTGCGCGGAGCCTCCGCTCGGGGCTGGCAGCAGGCGGAGGCGGCAGCGCGAGGACGCGGCGAGCTGGGGAACCCGCTCCTGCCGCCCCTAATTTCTTTTTAATTAGCACAGCGTAAATACTGGCGAAGATGCGAGTTGTATCTTAATGGAGAAATGCAGAAACAGATTAATTTTTGGCACAGTTCCCTCTTCCCGCTTACGTCAGTGCCTATTTCCAGCAGCGCTCTAATTGCAGGAGCAATCCTCGGCACTTGCCTGTTATCCAGCAGCCCTGCAGGGAATAAGGAAGCGCTTGGGGAAGCGCGAGGGGCAGTGGCTTTGCCCCCGGCCTCCCTGCTGTGCCCGCATGGAAGGCCTGGACCGAGGCTCTTCCTCCCGCATGAGCCGCGGGGGCCRCATCGCCTTCGGAGCCCATTGGAAGAGGAGCAGCCTTCTCCCCAGGCCGGGGCTGTGGAATTCCCGCCTGCGGAGCGGGAAGGCTCTGCCGGAGSCCGGGCTGCGGCAGGGCAGGCTCTGCCGCCGGGAGCCTCGGAGCTGCTGCAAAACCTCCTGGTGCTGCTCCAGCTGCCACCAGCTTTGCTTCAGGCACACAGAGCTATATTTCAGACAAACCATTCCATAATTTCAGAGGGTAACGTTTGCATCTGCTTTTAATTAATATTTAGGCTTTCCTCCACTGCAGAGTATTTTGCAGCTTTGTCTTTGCACAAGACGCAGAGATATCCTGATTTTGATATATTCTGATTTGTATTTTAATTTATTGGGAAATCCTACTGCCTGTTTTCAAAATGTGGCCCATGTCTTTAAAGCCAACAGAAAACTTGGCTGAATAATTCCATTAATTTGTGAGATGCTATATGATAAAAGACTAATTAAAACCAATGAATATTTAATTTGATTAAACCATCTACAGAGCTGGTTGCATAGTGAAAAAAAAATTGCTAGGATACACTAGGAAAGCTTTGTCAAATACATTATCTCCAAGCCCTATGTGAGTATATTCTATAATTGCATTGGGATTTAAAAAAAAAAGAAAAATATAAATGACATTTTTCTAATGTACCTAGGAGTTTAAATTAGCCTGTTCTTTGTGATACCATAAGCTCTCATCTGTAGGAATTTCTTTGCTTCTTGAAGAAAAATCATGTACTTGTTGCTTCCTTTAGAACAGGAGAAAAAAAATGTGATATCTGACTTGCTAGAAAACTGGAAAAGTACCACAAGTTCCATGTAGAAAACGTTACATGCATTTTGGATTTGTTGCAAATAAAGTGTCCCAGTGGAGTGAGAACAGCGCAGGCAGCCGTGTGGCCAAAGGCCTGGCCAGCAGAAGGAATCACAGAATCATGGAATCCTTAAGGCTGGAAGGGACCTCCAGAGACCATCCAGTCCAGCCCCTTGCACACGCAGGGGCACCCAGAGCACGGGGCACAGGCTGCATCCAGGTGGGTTGGGAAGATCTCCAGAGAGATCTGGGGACTCCACAACCCCTCGGGGGCAGCCTGTTGGTGCTGTGGCGTGTGGGTCCCATGCTGTGCCCACTGAAGAAGACTTTGGTGGGGCTCCCCGTGGCTTCCACAAGGCCTTGCAGAGGGCCCTGGCTCTGTGCCRAGGGAGGTGGAACCGGCCTGCTCCCGCTGCAGCGGCCACCACCGTCCCTGGCGCTGCTGCCTTTGCCCCATGTGT